CCTTTTGCCCTCTCACCCTCTAGCCCTGTAGTCCTACATCCCTAAAAAGGTTATGATTGGGGTTTTGCTCCGGTATCATCTTGGAAATGGACGACGGGGCAAGATTAAATGAAATTTGGAGTGTCATAGGGGGTGCTGATAAGTCCAGAGGAAGAGGATGGTAAGGATGGTAGAGTCTAGTTCCCCAATCAGAGCGTGCCTCTGTTGGGGGTCCTAGCGGATTTCCGCGGCCCGCCCGGGTGCCGGGGTGCCCGGGTGCCCGGGTCCCCGGGTGCCCGGGTGCCCAGGTGCCCGGGTGCCCCGGTGCCCAGGTGCCTTCTAGACTTATAGCCCTATAGCCCTATACCCCATATAGCCCTACAGCTCTATAGCCCTATAGCTATAGCCCTCTAGCCCTAAGAGCCCCATAGCCCTATGACCCTATGGCCCTAGAGCCATGTAGCTCTATAACCATATAACCATATAGCCAGATAGCCCTATAGCCTTATGGCCCAATAGCCCTATAGCCCCATGGCCCTATAGCCCAAGAGCCCTATAGCCCCATAGCCCTATAGCCCTATGGCTCTGTAGCCCTATAGTCCAATAGTCCTATAGCCCCACAGCCCTATAGCCCAATAGACCTATAGCCCTATAGCCCTGTAACAATACAGCCCTATAGGCTTATAGCCTCAAAACCATATAGCCCTCAAGCCCAATAGCCCTCTAGCCCTGTGGCTCTATATGCCTATAGCCCTATATCCCTATAGCCCCATAGCCCTATAGCTCTATAACCCAATGGTCCGATTACACTATAGCCTCATAGGCCTATGGACTCATAGCCCTATGGCCCTATAGCCCTATAGCCCCCTAGCCCCAGCGCCCCATAGCTCCGTAGCCCTAAAGCCCTACAGCCCCATAGCCCTATGGCCCTATAGCCCTATAGCCCTGTAGCCCTATAGACCTATAGCCCTATGGCCCTATAGCCGTATAGTTCCATAGCCCTATAGCCCCATAGCCCCATCCCCTTATCGCCAAATAGCCCTAAAAAAACTTTGAATGTTTTTTTTTCTCGGGAAGCAGACTACGGGATACAACATACGTTGTGGAACCCATGTGGAGCTCTCTGTGCGAGGCAGTCTATGGAATGCACCTGTGTAAAGCAACATGTACGGGGCAGGCTGTGGTGGAATTGGCTGAAACGCCGGAGCCGCAGGACAGCAGCAACGACAGCTATCAGAGCTACCGGCCCTTCGTGCACACACTGCTGGAGACAACTCCCAGACCTCGTGCGGAATTCTTGGGTCGGCGCTGTGCCCCGCCCCCCTGGCGGCGCCCTGGCGCGCTTCGCGCGCCAGGGGAGGGCGGCCCAGCGCCGAGCAGGGATCCCCCGAGGACCTCCGAAAGCTTATGCTTATGTGGCCGTGGCTCTTCGAGGCTGGGCCGCTCGATCCTGAAGACGCGCACACAAACATCCGACGACATGATGTTCCTGGTCCGCGGCCCCACAGGTCCCGAGCCCTTGCCCTGGGGCCCCCCCCCCCGAGGCCGAAGACTCTCCCCAACCACCAAAAATAGAAGAATCATACCGCGAATGAGAAACATCACATCGTCGGGTGTCTGAGCACCCGTGGTGTCGCCGCTCCGAGACGGCAGAGACCTGCGTAGTACGAGGCGGGTGCCTGCATTCGCCGCCAGCCCGCTCGGCTTCGGCCCCCGCCCGCCCGCCCGCAGCAGAAGCTGCTCCACCCGCAAGCGCTCGCGGCCCGCCCATAAAAAACCAAACCAGGCTCGAGTTCATCCCCATCCCAGAGGTTGACAAGCCCAAGTCAGTGACAATCTGGGCGACGTGCCCTGAGAAACTGGGCGAACTCTCAGGATCAGCACCGAGTTAAGGCGGTGCCAATCTTACGGACGGCGTTTAAGACTGCATCCACGCGCCAGCCGAGTCGAAGACCGCCCAGGTTACGAGGTTGGAGGAGGGGTGGCTCGGTTTGATGGTGTGATGAGGCTCCTCAGGTGACCTTGAAGCTGGAACCACACATGCTGGACTCACGCAAGGGACACGCGAAAGCCACGCTCTGGATGTACGCGCGGAAGCCCGGCGAACCCCGTCATGAAGGGCCGAGCACTGGAAAGACACCTGGCCACATGAGGCTGTCGCTCCGACTGGCCACGCCGCGTGCATCCAACTTCCTGCTTTGAGCCCGTGGGGTCCCAAGCCAGCCGAGCATGCCCGGGGCATCTGCCTCTCGGGGCCCACAGCGTCTCGGCGCGGTTCCCACGCCCTCTGCGGTCCCTACGGCAACTTCGGGTCGCAAAAACGTCGGCGTTGACCTCTGGCACCGCGTGGGCCGTTCAACCTCGAGCGCTCGCGGTTTGTCAGGTATCACATATCGTTCGACATCGGCCGATTCTGGGCACTGGCGACGCTCAACCTTCAACGCCCGCATTGGGGTCGCCGTCGCGTCAATGCGGCGCGAGCCTTCCGTACACCCACTGTGACCCCTCTGCTGGACTGGGAGCTGGGACGACTAGCTCGACGTTGGATTGGGCTCGCAAGGCTCAGAACAGGATGGTTAGACAACGACGATTGGACGCACATCTAAAAATGCTGGCAGAGCGGACTCTCGAATACCTGACAAGTCGCGGTTCACATCAATTGCAAGATGCTGCGGCAAGAACATCAAATTCTCAACAAAGAAAACTTTGCTGCAATTGGAGAGAATGGCAACACCCGGCAAGGGACGGCACAAAAAGCAAAACTGGCGAGCCTAAGCGAGGGTTGTGCAACAAGCATGTCTTAAGTCACTGGCGCATGCGCAAGCCAAACATGGGTGCATGCTGACTCTCTGGCGCAACAGGCAACCATGTGGCGACAAAACAAAGCTTGAGCCCAAATAGCGGTGGAACGCTTGAAATAACGCAAGATACTGAACAGCTAAAACCTTGAGTTGCGTCGACGCAGCCAACACGCCTCCAACAAAACGCAAACATATGCAGAGATATTTCAGCCTTTGCCTACTTCAATACGAATTTGTTACACGCTTGCACGCCCCCGTATAAACCTCCCACGCGTGTGTTGCAAGTTCTCGCTGCATCCGGAATCGCACAAGCAACCCACGCACACAGTGTATCACCTGTTGACCTTTGCTGGTCTGTCGCCATCCCTCGCACGAATTCCACAGCTCTTCCGCATCGATCCGCGCTGCCTTGTTCTGCGGACTGAGAAGTGACAGCGAATCACCCATCTGCTCTCGCGCCAAGACCAACTACACTTCTCGGCCCGAGCATCGTCACCTGGATCAGCGAGCACGAACCTGAACGCCACATTTGGATCACTCGCTCTGTGTATGACGCCATACCTCATGCGAAACTTCCATATCTGCCTGCTCGGCGAATGCACAGTAACTGATTGAATCACTTACGCGCACGAACACGAGTGCATTTACTTGACTTGGCTATATCGCCCTTCTGCCACGAGGACTCGAATATACCAACGGTGTGAGGAGGGAGAAGGGAGGAGGAGGAGGAGGACGAGGAGAAGGAGGAGGAGGAGGAGGAGCAGGAGGAGCAGGAGGAGCAGGAGGAGAATGCAGGAGGAGGGTGGGGGAGGGAGGCGGAGGACACAGAAGGGTGGGGGAGGGAGGAGGAACGAGAAGGGAGGAGGGAGGAGGGAGGAGGACGGAGGGAGGAAGGCGGAGGACGGAGGAAGGCTCGGCGCTCTTCCGACACGAGTCGGGTCACATCTCCGCACCGCGGCCTCCTCCGCCGGGCGCGCAGCCGGGCGCGCCGGGACCCGCGCCGCCGGGCGCGTCGGTCGCCCGCGCGCCCGCCGGGCACGCGGGCTCCTCGCCGCCGCTGCAGCGCGAGGGCCGAAAGAGCGGCGTGCGGCAGCGCTTCTGTCGCGGCAAGAGGTCGGCGGCGAGCCCAGGGGGGAAGTTAGGGGGAGCCTACCTCGCTTTAAACCAGAGATACCTAGCGATGCCAAGAGATACCTAGCGATACCTAGGTTAGAGGACCACCCTCGCTTCCAAGAGATACCTAGCGATGCCAAACTACGGCCTGTACTGGTCGGGCCGCTTGACGAGGAGGCGCGTGGTATGACTTGGTTTTGCCTGGAAGCGAAAGCGGGGTAGGTAATTCACGCTCTGATTATCAGAAGGCTCGGAAGGCCTCCAGTCTTCTAAAAGGTTGTCTGAGTCTTCTCATTTTTATTTCTTTGCCACCACAATCCATGCGGACGACACCAGGCTCACACACACGAATCAGTCCAATGGCAACCTCACCGTGCCCGTGAGGTGGACCCCGAGGTCCTGCCTTTGTGGGGCAGGCAGCGCCCAGGGCAAACATTTACACTGATCGCCCCACAGGCGTAGGGCTCAAACTTGTACCGACTGCGGCGGCACCTGTGGACTACCCTACGGGGTAGACGCCGAAAAAAAAGGAACGGGCCAACATCGGGCCGCAGCTAGGTGGCCAGAAGGGCGGGGAGGGGAGGAGGGAGAGAGGGCAAAGAAACAGCCGGAAGAATGCCCGCAGAAAATGAACGTTTCGTTCGTGCGTAGGCCACACCGCGGGAGCATTGCCGAAGCTGGCACCCGCACAGAATTCCTTCGGGAGCCTAGAGCTGACGATGCAAAGCAGGGCCGCCCACCAAGATAGAGGGGGCAGGCCAAATCGGCGAGCACGAGGTGCCGAGGTTGCCGGCGAAGCGAAGGAGGACAAGGCAGAGGAAGGGGAGACGCGCAGGAACAGTCGGACGAGAGCGCGCAAGCAAAAACTAAAAGGCGTAAGATGCCGCCAATGGGGGGCGCAGGGGGAACGGAAAGCTCGGGGAGCAAACCGCCCCTGACGCCCCCAAGGCGGTGGGCGCCGCCCACCGAGACCGGGGGGCAGCGCGGGATGGTGAAACAACTCACAAAGTGGCATGCAACGTGCAAAACAATGCTGTATCAACACGGGCAGAGGGGGAAAAAGAGAAAGAGCAAGCGAAGGACGGAGAGAGGAGGGGGGCAGAGCCCTCACGCAGACGCCCTCAGAACTTAGTGTATAACCCCAGGAAGCATTTACGAACCCCCCCGGCGATATCTTAGCACCGCATTTTTATTCGATATTCCGAGGGGCCGAAATAACCGCACGATAGGTTTAGCACCCGGACACACAACAAATTCGCGGAGGCCTGGCCCCTGGGCTACAATCGAAATTCGAAATTCAAATCTGCGTGGCTCTCATGAAAGACTCAGGATGTCGCTTGCTGGAAGGAGGAGGAGGAGGAGGAGGAGGAGGAGGAGGAGGAGGAGGGGGCAGGAGGAAGTTCGTGGGTGGAGGAGAGGAGGAGGAGGAGGATGAGGAGGAGGAGGAGGAGGGCTCCTGGTGCCAGGTAACGCTTCCAGGGTGCGGAAGGGTTATCGATTTGCCGGAAGGGGGGGGGGGGGGGGTTCTTAAATGCTTCCTGGGGTTAGTCATGGCGCTCAGCGACGTCGTGCCGCTGGTACCCGTGGTGGCCGTCGTATCCATGGCTCTGCGTGGGATCACGGTCGTGTCGCTCAGCGTGATCACGCCGCTGGTGTCGGAGCCAACGACGGAGCTGGGGTCGGAGCCGGAGTTGGAATTGGAGCTGCAGACGGATACGTCAGAGCTGGTGTCGAGGCCGGCTCTTTCAGAACATGGTGTGGTCGTGAATCCGGGTCTGCATAGCCAGCTTCCAGTACGCTTCGCAGAATCGAGAACATCGTTACACATCTGACCATGGATGTCTGCGTTGAGCCTCCAACTTCCGACGTCCAGCGTGGTGTAGGCGCTGGCGTTGATGCCGGCGTTGCAGGCGCTGGCGTTGGTGCTGGCGTAGGCGCAGGCGGTGATTCTGGCGTCGGGTTGGTGTCGGCGCCGGCGTTAGTGCTGGCGTTGGTACTAATGTGGGCGCTCGTATATGGCGTAGCCGCCGGAGTCTGGCGTAGGCGCCGGCGCTGGTGCTGGCATCGGTGCTGGCGTGGGCGCTGATGTAGGCGCTGGCGTTGGTGCCGGCGCCATCGCAGGCGTTCATGCTGGCCTCGGTCCTGGTGTAGGGGTCGGTGTGAGTGCTGGCGTCGGTGATGACCTCGGTGCTGGTGTAGGCGCTGGCGTTAGTGCCGGCGCAGGCGCTGGCGTTCGTGCTGGCGTCTGTGGTGGCGTCGGCGCTGGTGTAGGCGCTGGCGGTGGTGCCAGCGCAATCGCAGGCACTAATGCTGGCCAGCATTGGTGCTGGCGTAGGCGCAGTCGTTAGTGCTAGCGCCTGTGCGCACCAACTAGCTGGGCAGCTAACTGGTGCGCTGCGGCTTGGCGTCGGTGCTGGTGTAGGCGCTGGCGCTGGTGCCGTCGTAAGCGCAATCGTTGGTGCTAGCACCTGTGCGCACCGGTTAGCTGGGCAGCTAATCGGTGCGCTGCAGCTTGTCTTCGGTGCTGGTGTAGGCACTGGTGTTGGTGCCGTCGCAGGCGCCGGCGTCCGTACTGGCGTCAGTGCTGGCGTCGGCGGTGGTGTAGGCGCTGGCGTTGGTGCCAGCGCAATCGAAGGCATTCATGCTGGCATCGATGCTGGCGTCGGCGCTGGCGTAAGCGCCAGCATGTGTGCTGGCGTCGGTGCTTGCGTCGGTGCTGGTGTAGGCGCTGGCGTTGGTGCTGGCGGCGGTGATGTCAACGGTGCTAGTGTAGGCGCTGGCGGTGGTCTCAACGCTGGCGCTGGCGTCTGTGCTGGCGTCGGTGCTGGCGTCGGCGCTGGTGTAGGCCCGAATGGGCCAGGTGACAGGAAAACGTTTCCCGCATTCTGGCTGGAATTTCGCCAATGCTTAGGAAAATAAGGTGTAGGCGCCAGCGTTGGTGCTGTCGTATGCGCCAGCGTTGGTGCCGTCGTAGGCGTGCTAGCGCCTGTGCGCACCGGTTAGCTGGGCAGCTAACCGGTGCGCTGCGGTGTGTCGTCGGTGATGGTGTAGGCACTGGTGTTGGTGCTGGCGCATGCGCCGGCGTCCGTGCTGGCACAGACGTCAGCACCGACGCCAGCACAGAAGCTGGCGTCCGCGCTGGGACCAACGCCAGCGCCTACACTAGAACTGTTGTCATCACCGACGCCAGCACCAACGCCAACGCCTACACCAGCACCGACGCCAGCACCAACGCCAGCACAGACGCTGGCGCTTACGCCAGCGCCGACGCCAGCATCGACGCCAGCATGAACGCCTTCGATGATGCGGGCACCAACGCCAGCGCCAACGCCAGCACTGACGCCAGCACTGACGCCAGCACGGTTGTCTGAGCCTTCTCCGAAGCCGCCCCGGTCTTCTGAAAGTTTGTCTGAGCCGTCTCCGAAGGCGCATAGACGGCTTCTCAGGAGGCCTGAGGGTTCCGAAGAAGCCCCGCCGCCTCCTGAGAAGGCCTGTCCACTCCCACTTCCCCCCTGGGATCAGCGCCGAAAAGAATCACGACTAGAAGTCTTTGACAGCTTTTCTGCCTTTTCGGGCCTCTGGGAAGTTTCTCGTCGCCACGGCTGGATTCCTATAAAAACCCGGGTCGGAACGTACGCTGACGTTTGACCCCCCGCACCTGGACCTCCATGTCGGACGCTCTGGGACAACTCCAGTCCAGGGTACCTCCAATTTAGGCCCGCGACGCATGGACCAGGAGCTACCCCTGACCACCCCTAGCCCGGATGATTCGGAAAGGCGTGGGCGCCCGAGCTGTGTAGGGTAACTCTGGTCCGGGGATCGGGGTAACCCTGGTCCAGGGCAGCTCAAGGCTTAGGAGTGCGCGAGGCACGAAGCAGGGGCTGTCCCTGACCACCCCGAGCCCTGATGACTCGGAGCGCTGCTCCACGCGTCTTGACAAATCGCGACGGGAAGCTTTGATAAGTTTTCGGCCTACTGGGGACCCTTGCCGGGCCAGCAATTGGCCTAAACAGCGGCGTGGTGCAGGCTCCTTTCGTCACAGAGATCGCGACGGGAATCCAGATCTCCGACGACATGACCTTGTCAGTTCAGGCGTTCATCCCCGACTTCGGGCTCGCGTCGTGACGACTGGCGCCTTGGTTCACCTTACACCGCGTGCACCACCCAAGCTTCAACGATCGCGGCATTCCGATAGCGCGGAACGCTCGACGTCCGCCGACTCTGGACCACGGCGTCGTTCAACCTTGAACACCGCTGCCGGGGCCGCCTCCGCGTCGGCCCGGCGCGGACCTGCCGCACCCTGACACGGCGAGGGATATGGCGGGGTCATGCAGTATCAGTTCGTGGAGCTCAGAGTGTGCCTACGATGCGCGTTTACGCGTGATGTGCACGATCGATCGTGACAGCTATGTGCACCGTGTGTGTGTGTGTGGCTTTCGAGCCTAACTGGGTTGAGGCTACAACGACTCTCCACGGTGTGTATTTGTTTGCGGGGGAAGGTCGATCTGGGTGTTCTACGTGTCCTGCTCATTGTATTGCCAGGTCAGGGGCTTCGGTGCCTGGTCTGAGGCGTGCTGCGTCGCTTGGGTGCAGGTGAGCCCATGGATTGGATACAGTTGAGACCTCCCGGGCTGGGGCACGCCCATGATCTTCACCGCCCCACGCCCTGCTCCTGGGGTCGCGGCGTCGGGTCGAGACTGAACATTTCGACTGGCGCGTCCACAGACCGCCGAGTCGGACAGGAGCTTGTGCGCTACCCCAAGAACGGGCCATCAGTTTTTGGCGACCCATGGATGCCCAGGCCGCCCAGCCGGGTCGTGGGGCAACGGGTCGGCTCTGGGGTGCGGAGTCAATGTTTTGCGAGAGAGCCGACGCGGCAAACCCATGGCAGTGCGCAACGGGTAGACCTCCGGTCCGCTGTGCACAGTGTGCACTGGGTGTCCGTGCTGTTCTCTTGTTCCGCGCTGGGCTTCTGTCAGGGCGGGGGGGGCATCACTCGACAGTCCCTGGGCCAGGGGCGGTTGACGTCTCCGGACGCCTCCCCTGGTCTCTCACTAGCGCCCGACCACGGCACTCCCGGCGGAGTGCTCAGGGGCCTGGCTCTCTCGGGTGTGTTTGTTGCGGGTCCTATAAGGCATCGACTGTGCGAGTCTGGGCCAGGGTACCAGGGACGCCAGCGTTCAACGAGCTGTTGGGCACATCTGCTTGGGGCTTGGGGTTGCTTTCGGGGTGCTCTGGCCAGGCCGGTCGCCGTGCTGCGAGTCGTGAGTGCCAGCGCTCTCGCTTGGTGGCCAGCGCCGCCTTCGCCTTCGGGCCACCCGTTGTGCCGGGGTCTGGTCTCGCACCAGGCCTCTTTGGGTGGGGGTCTTGTACCCTGTTGGCATGTGATGCAACCGAGGAGGGACCAGGCCCACTGCAGTCCGCATCGGTGGGGACGTCGTGAGGGCGGGGAGCGCGTGAGGAAGGCGCAGTGTGCACTGTGCGTGCGTGCGTTCGTGTGCGTCGTGTGCGCGTGGCTCGATGTTCAAACGGGTAGGGAGGACGTGCGCCAATATTGTATGGATGGAGTGCATCAGAGCTTCAGCGCGCATATGTATCCAGATGATGAGTACGTTCATTCTTCCCTCACCCCAGGTCGAGGTAGGCACCGCTTCCGCCCCGCCCCGCCCCGCCCCCACCATCTGGACCCTGGTTAACAGTGTGCTGTTGGCTGTCCCTGCGTTTCGATACGAGATGTCCGCGTGGTTTTGCCTCCCCCGTCCCTCCCCCCTCCCCTCCCCCCCTCCTCCTTCTCCTCCTCCCCTCCTCCTCCCTCCTCCCTCCTCCTCCCTCCTCCTCCCTCCTCCTCCCTCCTCCCCCCTCCTCCCCCCCTCCTCCCTCCCTCCCCCCCCTTGGCGGATATGTCGTGTCGGTGTGGTGCGCTTCGTCCTTTGCTGGGTCGCCGAGGGCCGCCGCCCGGGCGTGCACACCCTGCGCCAAGACCGAGACCGCGAGGGATATGGCGACCCCCTTCTCCTCCTCCTCCTCCTCCTCCTCCTCCTCCTCCTCCTCCTCCCAGTCGAGAGCCCCATCCCTACCTCTCGGGGCTCTCGACTGGGCCAGACGCGCTGGGCCCCATCCCTACCTCTCGGGGCTCTCGACTGGGCCAGACGCGCTGGGCCCACCTCTGGGATGTGCGAGGGGCGGGCGTCCGTCCTCGACGGGAGTGCGTCCGCCTAGCCCCCCGAAGGTGTGCCCCCGACTTGCCCCCCCCCCCCCCCCCCCCCCGCCGCCTTTTTCTGAGCGGCCTGACGTTTCGGGCGGAACCTGTGGGAAAAAACACACACTGTGGGAAAAACACACACAAACACACACACACACACACACACACACACACACACACACACACACTGTGGGAAAAAAACAAAGAGTGTGTGTGTGTGTGTGTGTTTCCCCCAGTATGTTTTTTTCCCACAGACTGTGCGTTTTTTTTTTCCCACGGCGCCAGGCACAGGGGGAGAAGAGCTGCCTGCGATGACGCCCCCCTCGGGCCTTGACAGAAGTCGCGACGGCGGGGGGTGACGGTTTCGGGCGTCCGGGGGCCCGCTCTCGGGCTCCCAGCTCTGTCCAAGAGTTCCGCTCGGGAGGACGAGCCAGCACTGGTCGGGGAGACGTAAGACCCGGGTACGGGGGACTCGGAAATCCCCGACGAAGTCGTCAAAAAATGACGAGGCCGAGCCTGCATTTTGACGAGGCCTCCCGCTGCAGACATCCCACGAAACTCCTCCTCGTCAAAATCCGAGTCGCGGTCGTCAAAAAACGATGGCGAACCCGAGTCCCGGCAAACCCGGGTCTTACGCTCCCCCGAACTGGAGAGAGGGTCGAGCTTTCTCGGGCGCGCTATGCAGAACAAAAAAAATGGAGCCTGGGATCCGCGCGTTGATTATTCCGCATGAAGGACTTTCGCCAGGCAGCGAGCCTTGGGGCGCCCACGGATCGATGGGACTGGAGAGTTGCCGCAACAAGACTGCGCTGAAGGCTCAAGTGGTGACGCTTAAAGATGCTGTTTGTTCCCAGGGCGTCGACGCTCAAGGTAAGCATGAACTTTCTGAGGTTCATGGAGATTTCCCAGGTCGTCGCTGGACCCCTTACCCCCCTGGCGGCGCCTCCATCGCCGCCCCTGGCGCGCTGCACGCGACGGGGAAGGGCTGTTAGGGGGGGGGGGGGGGGGGATGGGCAGCTTGCGCACGAGTGAGGAGGGCTGTGAGGAGGGGGAGGGCTGTTAGTTGAGCAGGAACCGACCGTCCCGGCATTCCTATACTCCTACCACGAAATATTCTTATAACCCCACAATGCTCTAAGAACAAAAGCAATGTTCTTAGAACATGAGCCCGATGTGCTAAAACAAGACAGTCCCAACCAGACATGTTCCAAGAACATTTCGTGGGAGCCACATAAGGCTCTTAGAGCATAGTCTGGCAGGACTGTAGGCACGCCAGGGCGCTTCGTCACTGCTTGAGTTAGGAGGGGGGGCTGTCAGGAGGGGGGGATGTTCTAAAGGGGCCCCAGGACACACAAATAAATACACACAAATAAAAAGATTCCCCATATTTTCCAATATTTTCTGGGTTTTTGTCTTCCCCCCCACTTCCCATATTTTCCAATATTTTCTGGGAAATCGACGATTAATTGTGTCTGTGTGTTTTTTCCTCTCCTGATGTTCGTAGGGGGGGCTGTCTGAGGTTATCGTGGGCCCTCGCACCGCTCGGACCCCCGGCGACGCGCTCACGGGGGGCGGCGGCCTTGCAAGGAGGCGGGGCGCTTCCTAGACTGGGTAGTCGAAGCCAATCTGGCGCTAACCTGGCAGGCCCAATCTGGCAAACGGGGGCAATCTGACGAGGGAGCCAGCGCGAACCCAGTCTGGCGAATAACCCCAATCCTCCAATTTGGCCAAGCCAGATTGGCCCTTGGGGCCCAATCCCATCTGACAGTCTGGCCTTCGACTACCCAGTTAGAAGGCAAGAGGCGTTTTGGAAGCCATCGCCGCTTTCTGTAAGCCTCCGCAGAAGCCTCGAAGGCCCCACCGTCCCTTGCGCCATCCCCCTTGTGCGCGAGGCCGACGACCACTTGCTGGGGACCGATCTCTCATCCTTCGTCGGTTTTCCGACGGCCCCTGTGGAGCCGTACGACATCAGACCAGCCGCCTCGACTTTCTTCCGGGCCGCCGGATGTCTCACGGGTTCACAAAGTCCGATCAGAACATCTTTCGACACCTTCCCGACGGGGGGGGGAGAGGGGGGATGGAGCAATTTGCCGGCCCGGGTGCATTTGTGATTGCCCTGGGCCCACCGCAAGTGCTCTCCCCGAACCCGAAACTACAATGGACAACCCAGGGATTGAACCATTCCCTCTGGCCGAAGCCTGGGCTTGGGTCCACGGGGGGGCTCGATGTAGACACCACGAAACATGGTCGGCCACGGAGCTCGGTGCATGGAGGCCCCGGCTGCCCAACCCGTGGGACGCTGGAGCGTCTGACTGCACCGAGATCCTGCACCGAGCTATACAGTCGGGGCGTTGCCCTAAGGAACCCTAAATAAGGAACGAGGCCCCTTTTTCCCATCAGTTGAACTTCGATTTCCGATCGAAAACATAAGGAAAACCGAAGGCAAGCTGTGAAACACTTAAGGAACGCGGAGCCCCTCCCCAACGAAAAGGGTTCCTTCTTCAGGGCCCCGACTGTATACGTCGAGCACCTCCGAGCCAAGCACCGATCGGCGAGGTCGTCGCGGACCTCCGAGGGCGTCTGTGCCCGCTGCCGCTCTTCGGGCCCTCGATGGGGCCGCCGCCGCCGAGCTCGGGCACATCCAGGGTGCCGCGCGACCTCGGGGGCCGGGTTCCCAGGAGGATGGCGACGCACACGCACACACACACACACACACGCACGCGCACAAGCACATATGGAGCTGGTGCCCATGTGCCAAAGTCAAGGCTCATCGAGTGCGCCAAGGCCGAGCCACCCCAGACGGCCCCCATCTCGTTTTAATACAGCCCCAGTGTTGACCAAAAGCTCTTCAGCAGGGCACCAGGAGGCTCCAATACAGCCCTAGGCCTTGCCGAGACGCCCCCAAGCCGGTTTCACCAATCCGTTTCAAGCACAGCGGCTCTCTGCCCCACGTGTGCGGAAGTCCTGACTTGCTTTTTCGCCTCCCGATCCCGCCCTGCCGACTGGCGCGTCCGCCGAGTCCGCGGCCAAAACGCGTGCAACTGCCCTGCCCGAGCCATGCCCAAATCCCGGCCGAGCGCTGCCCGGGCCCCCCGCCGGACTTCACACGGAGGCCCTGCAGGCCGGGGGTGGCGGGCACTGCCAAGTGCCAGAGCCGGGCACCCGGCACGGTTGGTTGACGGTGATGCCGGGGATCCTGTTCTGCGCCACCTCTAGCGAAAGCGAAAGAATGGATTGTGGGAAAGCACGAACCACGCTCGCCTACGACCGGTTTGCCCACGAGGGAGTCCCACCTAGAATGCAGAGACCTACTTCGCCGTTACCAGCAGGGCCGTTGGCTCGTCTATGGCCGTGAGTGCGCCGGTAGGGAGGGGGGGCACAGTGACTGTGCAATTCTGCGGCAGGACCCCCTGGGCACCTTGCTGCTGCACTCGCTCTGGAGGATGCTCAGCTGTGCTCGATCCTAAACCAAAAATGACTGCCCATGTTGGACGTACATTGGCAACGCTCTGTCGCTATATTGTTACTTATGAGCCAGGTCTACATCGCAGAGCGGGAGGGGGGGTGCTGGGAAGAGGCATGCCACCCCTTGACAAAAACCTTGCCCCGGTGTTTGGCCGCCGCGATGGCCGCGGCGACCTCCGAAACCGACCCGAAGGTTTGGTTCGAAGCACGGGGGGGGGGAGAGGAATGCTCTGGCAGGAGGAGGAGGAGGAGGAGCAGGAGGAGGAGAAGGAGGAGGAGGAGGAGGAGGAGGAGGAGGAGGAGGAGGAGGGGGAGGAGGAGGAGGAGGAGGAGGAGGAGGAGGAGGAGGAGGAGGAGGAGGAGGAGGAGGAGGAGGAGGAGGAGGAGGAGGAGGGGGGAGGTCGGGAGGTCGGGAGCGGTGTGGCGCCTCCCCAACTCCGGTTGGCTACGTGCCTGTCTCGGCCGGGAAGGGCTCTGCGCTCCGGCGGTGGCGCGGGCGGCCCGCCCAGGGACCCCCGAGGGGGGGTCCGCGCTGCGGGGCACAGCACGCGACGTCGGGGGAGGACGAGGAAGAGGAGGACGAGGAAGAGGAGGAGGAGGAGGAGGAGGAGGAGGAGGAGGAGGAGGAGGAGGAGGAGGAGAAGGACGACGAGGACGAGGAGGAGGACGAGGAGGACGAGGAGGAAGAGGACGAGGACGAGGAGGGCTGATACGGGTTGCCTTTATGGCGTGGCGCTGCCCGAAGTGTCCGCCGGTGCGGCTCCGAGGGGGGGGGGGACCGAGGAGGTTAAGGTGGAGGGGGAGGTGAGGCAAGGGGCACGGTGCCTTCACTCGCCTCCCCCAACACCCTCTCTATGCGTAGCAAGCCTCGGCGGGGGGGGGGACTCTGCGCATGGGCGGCGGGGCGCGGTTGGCGCGCCGCGGGACCGCTGGTCCCCACGCTGCGAGAAAAATACAACGTGAGAGGAAGGAGGTCGTGGAATCGAGACTCAAGGCATCTGGGCGTTCCTCTTGCCTCTTCTTGGGGCCTCCTGGGAGCCTTTCGTGGCAACGACTGGATTGCCGCTGGAGGTTCTGGCCAGAGCGCAGCCCCGGACAGGTCCAGTGGGGCAGTTTTGAAGGGGAGGAGGTGGTGGCCACTGCACAACTTAGGAAAACAGGCCCCAAGCATAGCAACATGCACCACGACCACGACGAGGAGAGGAGGGAGAGGAGGGGAGGAGGAGGAGAGGAGGCGGAGGAAGCAGGGGAGGAAGAGGAGGAGGATAAGAAGAAGGTGGGGAAGGAGGAGGAGGAGGAGGAGGAGGAGGAGAAAGGGACAGGAAAAAGGATGAGCAGGAGGAGGAGGAGGAGGAAGAGCAGGAGGAGGAAGGAGGAAGGGGATGAGGAGGAAGAGAGAGAGGCGGATGAGGGACCTGTTTGAAAGAAGAAGGAGGAGGA